CGTGGGCAGCCTCTCAGCAGCAGCTGCGGATCCAGCACTGCGCGCCCAGAGCCAGAGTCCCAAGAGGCCGAGAAGCCTCTTCCTCCCTCCCTAGCCACTGCAGCAAGTGCCTTAGCCCGGGCCTCAGCCCTCTGGACGCTCGCCGGTAAACCCTCCGCCGAGTCGTCCCGAAACCGGCTGTGCTGAGTGTGACGGGATCGAAGTGATGCATAACTTGGGCGTGCTGAGAGGCCTGTTCTTGAGTGTGTGCGGGTGTGCGTGGGGCAGGTCATCATCACGAGGGTGTGTGGATGCGACTGCACGACAGACACCGAGACGGCTCGGGACACGTTCGAGAGGGCACCCCTAAGGATACTCCCGCTCTCCGGAGTGTTCTGTGAGCTTCTGTGCTTCGCGGAGTGGGCACGTGTCCGGGGTCGTAATGCGTTCGCGTGTGGACAAGCGGGACTGCAAGCGAGGGAGCGCTTAGTCTCGGCAGGGACTCCAGGGCACTGTTAAGCCTGCCTGTTCTTCAGTCGAGGACCGAAGTGCGGGGGTGGGGATGCCAGGTTGGAACCAAATGCCACCGGGACATCTTGGCAAACAGCGGCCGGAAGCGAAGGGGCAGCTGTGCAAATGGCCCCGCGGGCGGACTAATGAGAGGTGACGGATGACGGCCCGGAGCGGGGAGGGCCGGAGGTCGAGCTGCAGTCTTCGGAAGCATCTGTCCCTTACAGCTCGCCCCTCAATTCCAGGTAGAGATCCGCCCCACCCCTACACTTGTGAGGGATCTGAACAGCACCCTGGATGTCCAGTGAGCGTCCTGGCAGCCCGGCCACCTGGACTTGAGAAAACATCAATGGAGAGATTATGGAATCCCCTACGCGGACCAGGAAACGCTTCCAAGTCCCTACATAGTTGGAGACCATGCCCTGAGCTGTCGCTCAACATTCCTTCAAGATGAGACTGCGGTCTCCATTGCAAAGAGAGTAGGTAGGCCTCTGTGAAGTTGCTTCCCAGGGTCACACAGTCTGGAATCCGCACAGCCGGAATTGCGCTAAGGTCTGACAAAGTTCTTGCTTTCAGCTGGGTTCCCTAGTCCCACAAACCTCGCCCTCTTTGGACGGTACTGGCTTCTGGAGCAAGACAGGCGACAGAACCCACCATGCAGTGCGTTAACCCTTCAACTTGGGCAGGGGGTTAGGGTCAGACTTGGGGGAGCCAGGAGTCCCTACAATCTTGGACCCTGCTACTCAAGACTGCACAGCTGGGGGTGGAGTGGGGCGCGTGTTCAAAACTAAGCGGAGCTGAAAAGGTGAAATCTGCGGTGAAGTAAACTGTCCCCAAAGTCCTGCTCGCTTAACGGGCTTCCTCGTGGCCCCCACCCCCTCCATCAATGACCTCAATGCAAATACAACTGGGGCCCTCCTGCGGGTTGGATGCTCTAGGTTCTGGAAGCACGGAGGTGACGCAATCAGGCCGGGGCACAGGACCCCTCCGCCCATTGGTTGCCCGGAGCTCCGGGACCCCTCCCGACCCAGCGCGGCGGGAATAAGAGCAGCGCTGGCGCTGGGAAGCCTCGGAGTCACTGCCCAGCCCAAGCGCGCCGTGGCCCTCGCTGGACGCCGCCGCCCCCCCGCCGCCTCTGTTCCCAGCCACCGGCCGCCAGGTGAGCCTTGGGTTTCTGCTCGGGGATGTCATTCTGTTTCTCTCTTCGTCTCCTCCCCTCCTTCTCTCTCCTTTCGTCTGTCTCTCAGTTTATCTCCCGTTCACTCTCAGTGTCTCTGTCTCTTCGTCAGACAGTCTCTGTCTGCCATTGATCCCAGGCTCCTGCCCCAGGAAGGATTAGCCACTCTCGGCGCGGCTCCGGGACGTGGTTTTGCTCGCTCGGGCTGCACACACGCCCAGGTGATCTCGGACACTAGGGCTTCCCACGGCAGGACGCAGGAGCGGCTTCCCAAGAGGTGCAGTCAGGGACCATTTCTGATGCCTAGTGGTTCCCGGGAAATGAGGTCAGAACCTGGGCCAGTGCGAATGGCTGGCAAGACCGGAGCAACGACTGAAGGGCCGGTAGCCCTAAAACACAAGCCCCAGTCGCCCGTCGGCTGCGGGAGCGCAGAGAGAAGACCTGGGTCCCAATTTAACACTTTCTTGAGCTTGGTTCTTGCACGGAATTGAGTTGCCAGAGGGTGGAGCCCTGAGCACTAGAATCTGCTTCTCCAATTCTCAGATTCCAGCTGTAAACTATTCCCCAGCTTCCTACCGCTCCCCTACACATTCCTGCCAGGAGTGTGCCAAAGCCCTCCCCCACCCCCAATCACCATCGCTGTTGTCACCACCGTGCACAGGAGGACAGCTCTAGGTTTCCTTATGGGAGCAGTTACTGTGACAGGAGCTCTGAGGGTGCCCTCCACAGAGATCTGGCCAACAGGTGTAAACGGGAGGACTGGGGGAGAGGAAAGGGTGTGGAGGGAGCTTGGGGGAAGAAAGGTGATTTGGACTGAAACCCCTGTATCCAGATATCAGCTAGGACAGCCTTCCAGCTTTGCCAGACGGTGCATGATAAAGGCTCCCTGGGCCTTCCGACAGTCTGAAGCCAGAAAGAGAAGTAGAGACAGGACCAAAGCAGGATGGGACCCAGGTCTGTGGACATAGAACTTTGAACTGGTGCAGGCAGTGACGTCATTCTTCCCCTGCAGAGAGGCATCATGGGCTTCCGGAAGTTCTCTCCCTTGCTGGCTCTCAGCATCTTGGTCCTGTTCCATGCAGGCAGCCTCCAGGCAGCGCCATTCAGGTGAGACTGAAGCCAGGAGCGTACTCTCCTCTCACTGCCCTGGAATCAAAAGGTCCTGTGCCTTTAAAGTGCACTGTGCTTAGTGTTTTACAAAGCAGTTGGTGGCAGGGGGTGATAAACCAGCATGTATACATGCATATAAGTTTATTATAAACTTTTTCTGATAAAAAGATGTGTAGCGCACATTTTGCAAACAGTAAGAAGAGATACAATATTATTTATTATAAATTACATAATTGCATATAGCCTATTGACTGACAAAATGCTTTCACTGTACCTTACCAAACTTTTGTATCTGTCGCCGGGCTATTGTTCCAATTCAGCCATGATTTGAGAAATGCATTGCATCCTAATCTGCTATCCAGTTTGCCAATACACTTGTTATTATTGCTTACATATGATCTGCTAGTCCACATATGAATATTAATTAACTGAAACCTTTTTCAGATTTAGCACTATTTGCAGATCTCATCTTTTTATTTATTTTTTTATTTGCTAATTAACACACTAATTTGTGTGTGAGTTTGGGGAGAGAGGGAGAGAGAAGAAAAGAGATAAAGCACCTTCCAACAGAATGGTCACAGCACAATCCCTTCTCATGGCTCTTTTCTTTCGGGATTTTGGACATTCACCCCACCATGTTTCTCAAGCCACCAGATCTGGGACTCGAACCATGAAGTCTGCCATGTGAGACCCAGTCACCACCATACCACAGGCTGGTCCACCATTTAATTTTTAACAATGGCTGCATTTAATGTTCAGCTCACAAAATTCCTGAAAATGTAACCATTGACCTGAATGAACTGGTTCCAGCACACTATTGCTTGGAGGCCATATTAGTGTCTGGCTCCTAGTGAATCAGCATCCTCAGAACACTGGCCACCTGCCCTGTCCACTGGGAGCCAGAGTGGCTACATCCCCAGGGGAAGAAGAGGGACCAGGAAGCCTGGCTACTTCTCCTGGGGAGGGGGTAGGCAGGGCTCAGAGCCTGCACTGGGTTTGCTTTCCCTCCACAGGTCTGCCTTGGAGAGCAGCCCAGACCTCTCCACACTCAGTGAGGAGGAAGCGCGCCTCCTGCTGGCTGCCCTGGTGCAGGACTACATGCAGATGAAGGCCAGTGAGCTGGAGCTGGAGCAGGAGCAGGAGCCAGAGGGCTCCAGGTAAAGCCCCACCCTGCCCAGCAAGCCCCCTCTCCCCCCAGGCATGCCCAGGAAGGCGATCCCAAGAGGTAAGAAGGAACACAGTGGCCAGCCTGGGGTCATTCCCCAGGACCCGGGCCCAGGTGTCCTCAGGCTCCACCGAGGACAGAGGTCAGCTGGGGAGACTGTGATTAGGTCCCATTTGAAAAGATCCACTTCTGAGAGCAGTTAGGGACGGTGTGGGAGCACGCACTGTGGGGCCTGGTCTTGCAGTCCTGAGGAGCCTCCAGCACTGGCTGAGTTAGGACTGGTAAGTACGAAGCTGGGTCAGGAGGGGACCCGGTCTAACTCAGGAAGTTCGAGAAATTTCACCAGTTCCGTTGTCCTTCCCTCCTGTGAGGTTCCGTGGTTTCACATGTGCGAGGTGAAGGTGAGGGCCTTGCAGGGGTGTGTCAGCTACAGCCCTGGTCTGAGGTCCACCTGGGCCTTTAGATGGGCAGCATCTGTGTGATGTGCGTGGCAACACAGGCCCAGGAACAGCACCCTTCCCTGCCCACCTCCCTGTGCACCCTGAGCCTGGACAGAGACCCTGCACTGCCTGGGCAGAGGCTCATGTTGCACCTGTGTCTGCCCTGAAGAGCCCTCTGCAGAGCATGGGGACTGAACAGCATGTGGAATGCAGGAGAGGCCGCCCTTCCCTCTGCAGCCCTTCCCCACACTTCCCTGGCCCCCTGCACCCCTGAGCTCTCCTAACATGTGGGCTCTCCTCCTGCCTGCTCCTCCTGCCTCACAGGAAAAGCACCCTTGCTGCCCCACCTTCTGCATGACTGTCACAGGGGCAGCCCCTGGTGCATGGGACTGTGTGGCATGTCTTTTCCCTGCAGCCTGGACAGCCCCCGACCTAAGCGCTGCGGTAATCTGAGTACCTGCATGCTGGGCACGTACACCCAGGACCTCAACAAGTTTCACACATTCCCCCAAACTGCAATTGGGGTTGGAGCACCTGGCAAGAAAAGAGATATGGGCAGCGCCTTGGAGAGAGACCACCACCTTCATGTTGGCATGCCCCGGGATGCCCATTAAACTCCTCTCTCTCTCCTTTCTAATTCCCTTTCTTGCTTCCTTTCAATTACTTGATGCATGTGGCTCCTCTCTGGTTGCTCTTTGGGTTGGTATTGGTGACTTTCCCTTGTGACAGAGGATGTCTGGAACCTCAGATGGGAAAAGAGACAGCTGGACTCACAGGAGGAAGAGGACTGCCTGGGAAGAGATCAGAGTGAGGGCAGCCCTCTGCATTCCAACTTCAAGGCAGAGCATCTCAGTCTGCTTCTCAGTGTCCTGATCATTTGGAGAATAAAACTATTTTTCTAAAAAGACCTGCACTGTGGTGGTCATTGCTCTGGTCCACATTTCAGGCTTCATGGTGTCCAGGACCCATGCTCAGCCTTAGCCCAGAGTAGCTGGAGACAGAACATGGTAGGTGGTCCCCAGGACAGAGCTGACACAGCAACAACAGGTATGTTAAGGAGGAGGTGAACCCCTCTGGGACTAGAAGCTGCAAACTGTTCCTCTTCCAGGTAAGACTGGAATTTTGCTTTCCTAATAAGGGTATTTGGCGCCTGTGACTGGGGTATGGATTCTAATCAGTCCTTGGGGACGGGGTCCTGTACGCCTTTGCTGGTCTCCAGTCTGTTTATACAGGAAAGGTTGGCTGTTACAGCTCTGTGTTTCATGGCCAGTCACCGCACCTCTGGGTTTCATGAGACCCCTGGGAATGTCTGTGGGGAGTGATCATGGCATTTTCCCTAATGGCTTTGTGATTTTCTGCTCTGATAATTGTGTTTAGGAGAGACACTTAAGGTTAATTGGTGCCCCTGACAGCAGCAACTTTACCAGATGTCCCTTGTGGCAGGTCCTCCCTGCCCCCACCTCCCCAGCCTCTCACTGACAGGCCTTCTCTTCCTTCTCCATCCTGCCATCAGCGTCACTGCCCAGAAGAGGTCCTGCAACACTGCCACTTGTGTGACCCACCGGCTGGCAGGCTTGCTGAGCAGATCGGGGGGTGTGGTGAAGAGCAACTTCGTGCCCACCGACGTGGGCTCCAATGCCTTTGGCAGGCGCCGCAGAGACCTTCAGGCCTGAGCAGCTAAATGACTCCAAGAGGAAGGTTTGCACTGCCGGGTGGGAGGATAACCAGACATTGCAGGGGCATACTCCACACTTTCCCAGGGCCCATACGGTTGAGAACAATCCGTGAAGAAAGTACCCACACCAGTGTCTGGACCAAGGACACTGAGTTCCAATAGCTAACAACTAGAATTTGGGTTCAGCTCTCTGTTATTCCAGTCTCTCCTCATAACACTGAGATCCTGAGGCCAGGAAGTATAGACCCCCGTTTACACAAAACACGGTTCCTTGCTGTTATAATTGTGATTATTCTAGCATTTGAATTTGAAAGGTAATGGCACTGTCCTTTTGAAGTATACGCTACAGTGTCAGGTACCTCTGAATAAGAGCATAGCCCTGGGTTCAATCACTTTTTCTACCTTCAACTCTTGGTCTGACCATGGATCAGTCACGTAACTCTTTCCAAGCCTCAGTTTCCCCATCTACAAACTGAGCTCTACAATAGTAACCACCTCCTGGCATTAGTATAAAGAGCAAATGAAATCACAGAAGTCAAGACCTGATAATAATTCCTGGCAATTAGTAAGTAACTACATTCTAGTTATTATCTCCCCCCTGCCCCCCCCCAGGCCACACATTTCCCTGTGTAATGAAAGCAAGTTATAGGAAAGACTCCATGGAAGATACACATATTTATATTCTTCTTGATACCCAAAACCACCTTCTTTGTTTGAGAGGATCTGAGGCTAAATGCAGAATAAGTTCATTGCAGTGACCGATTGTGCGTTTTTATATTTGATTCTGTATCCAATAAATATGATAGCATGTCTCGTTGGCTTATCAGGTGGCAAATCTGGGCCCTGTCAGCCATCCTGTTGATGTTGGCAGCTCTGCTAAACCTCAGGGGGACATGAAATCACTGCCTCTTGGATGTCTGGGGACACATGGAAATGCTGTGCCTTGCTGGAACTATTTATTTAAAGAAATGTCAATGTTGTCATTTGTGAACTTCATCAAAATTAAAAATGTATTTTCGATACCCTTAAATGGAATCTCAGCTGCTATTTATGTCATTTTCCCCAAGAGAGCTTAGAGAGTTTATGAGCAAGTCTGGGGACCAGGCTGACTCACTTGAGGCACAGGCAATATGCTTGGGATGCAGCCTTAGGGCCTTGTATGTTTTCGGTTTCGAGTGAAATGTCCATCATTGGAATTAGAGCCCTGCTGGTGTCACAGAAGACAATCCACGTTTATTTTCAGTGGGCGCAGTGGTCTCCAATCCCAGAGATTACACATGGGCTTCTTGACTCAGGTTTGCCCTGACCCATCCCTTCCTTTCCTCTCCATAAGTGTCCCTTCATGTTCCCCTTAGCCTGCGAAGTCCTTTGGAAGCAATGGCTCAGCATTTGAAGGGGAGGTCACAGACTGGCCAACCTAAATGGTCATGGGTGCCTCCAGTACAACCTTTTCCTCTGTGAGATGCAGAGAAGTATCTTGTTCAAGGGTCTACAATGAGCTTAACAGAGACATTCACGTGTCACGAGTACTTGTTCGCTGCTTATGCCATACAATAGACACCATTCTAGGCACTGGGAACAGAGCACCAAACAAAACAGACAAAAGCCCTGCTTACATTCTTGTTGGGAGAGTTGTACTGAAACATGCTGCAGAACTATGAACAGGCAGTTAGAGGGATCTGGTGTGCTGTTCAAGGCAGGAATTTCCTAGCAGCAATTTCCCTGAACCCATGGACCCGATTCTGAAAAGACTGATGTCCTTATAAGAAGAGGAAGAGACGTGATAGACTTCTCTCTCACCTCTCTCACTCTCCACACTCGTGGAGAAGAGGCTGGGTGAGGAGAAGCTGCTGAATGTAACTCCCAAGGGACTGGGGATCAGTTTTACTGGTGGACACTCAGATAATTAGGGTTACTTAGTTAGCTGGAAAAGTCAACCCCTTCCACTAACTCTATTTTCTCATGAGCACATCCAACTATGCCCCTTACCCCCTTCTGCCTGTGCCAACACAGTAGCCCACCCCTCTGTCCCTATAAAAGGTAGGTCAGGCCATGGCTCTCTAATGCTGGAAACAGTCAACTCCCATGTCACTGAGTAAACACTGGAGGCATTGAGATGGCTTATGAGGTCCACGTTGATCGCCCTTTCTCCTCTCACCCCATCCCCATTACTACCTGGCCTCACCTCATACTCTCCCACTACTCTTACTCTCCTTGGCCATCTTACTATTCTTCAACTTCTGTCTCTCCGCACTTGATCACCTCGTCTTTGCACTTGCTGGTACCTCCGTGCGGATACCCTTACCCCATGGCTCGCACGTCCTCCTGATCTTTACACCAACGTCACCTACCCTAACCCACACTAACACTCTAGACTTCTATGCTTTGTTTTTTCTTTTTCTTATTATTGTTTATTCTACCATGCAAGTTTTTTTTTTTTGCTTTTTTTTTTTTTTTTTTTAATTCATGGTAGACAATACATGAGAGAGTAAGACAGAGAATATGAAAAAGAGAGAAGCACCCTCAACAGGGTCTTGCCACCCCACCCCAGCCCTCCAGCTCATCAGGATCTTGGATGCCCATGCAGATGCCTAATGTATTTGCAGGTCAACCTGGGGATCCAAACCCACATTGGCCATGTGGTTTTCAGCTCTACAGTCCAGTGCACTATGGACTGCACCACCTAGGCTGGTCCCTATACAAGTGTATTTTGCGTATTTATTTTTATATTGTTTGTACCCCCTTCCCTACCATAAATAAAGTTTATATGTGCAGGGATTTGGCTAGTTTGTTTATTGCTGGACCCTCAGTACATAGAACAGTGTACCTGGAAAAAGGTAGCAGCTGATAATTTATTGAAAGGATGAGTAAATGAATGAAGTTAAATCTTTTTTATGTCTGTGATCAACTCTCAGGGTCCCTCTCAGCTAGATTTTCTTTAGTCTAAATTGCCCAAGGACCTTAATCCTTAGGCAGTTATATCACCTGAATAGTGAATCTCTCAACAGTCTAGAGACTTCAGTGGTCGCCAATTTGTCAACAACTGTCCTTCCTCAAAGCCTTCACATAGTCTAGTTCTTCAGGTTGCACCCACCTCTAACCCCACCATTCTTCTCCACATGATTAATTTAACTAGCTTTTCTTCTTCTCACATGCTCAAACATTCTTTCTCAGTGTGATACCAGGAAGGCAGTTCAAATCAGTAGGGGAAATGGCAGGAAGATTAAGGTTAAATAAGATAAAAAAGATAGGGCACTACTCTGATTAGACTGGTGTCCTTATAAGCAGAGGAAGAGACATGACAAAGCTCTCTCACTCTCCACACTCATACAGAGAAGAGGCCAGGTGAGGACACAGTGAGAAGGTGGCCATCTGCAAGCCAGGAAAAGAGGTCTCACCAAAGATCAACCCTAATGGCATCTTGAATTTGGACTTCCAGCTTCCAAAACTTTGAGAAAATACATTTCTATTATTTAAGTCACTCAATCTGTTTGAGCAGACTCAAACAAAAGGCATTAGAGAACAGAATTATTTTTGCTACCAGAGCTTGTTTTCACTCTTACTGAAATTTCGGGCTCTAGGCCAATTTGCTGAGTGGCAGTTTGTCAAATTTACTTGGTTCTCTTTATTAATTCATTTTGATAACCATTTTGATTTTACCTTCTAAAATCATCTTCAGGAATGATCATTTTGTTATTGCTTCAGCCTCCTGCTGCTCATACTGGATAATGTATACATTAGATAAATTAATTGTGGCTTATTCATTTAATGGATGTGTGTGTGTGTGTGTGTGTGTGTGTGTGTGTGCATGTGTATAATACAGTACACAGCATGGAACAGAAATATATGTATCAACTTTGGATAGATCTCATACACGATGTTGAGTACAAAATAAAGTGAATTGCAAAGAATATATACCCAATGATGCCATTTGTCTTGAGTATAAAGTTTGATAACAATACCACACATAATTTAGTGATATATATATATGAAATAGAATAAAAAGTCATGTGTAAAAATGATAAACATCATATTTAAAAGAACAATTAACTTTGAGGAGGTGGGAAGGAAATGTCATGAAAAAGAGTACACAGGCTGCTTCTACAAAGCTTTTGTTTTCAAAGGTTTTGTTTTCAAAGCTAGGTAGTGCTGGGTCCCGCTCAGCTGAACACATTTTTCTGAGTGGGGAAAGCTGTGGATTAGAAATAAACCTAACAACAAACACATAGAGACACACAAGTATAGAAAAGCCAGAATCAGGTGGGCCCGACTTCTCTGGTGGAGAAAGCCACAGCCAGGAACCAGCCTTGGGTTTATTCTTTTAAAGGGCAGAAAATGGGGGAAGAGGAAATGGAATGCAAAGCCAGTTGCTTTAGGAGGTATATCGCCTGACAATAAAAAAAAATGACTGTCGCCATGTAATTTCTCTGATCTTTTTTGGGCAAAATCTGATAAATGTGTGGCTTCCTTTAGCCTGATACTGCCTTGCAGTATTGGTATCAGTAGGTGTATCAACGACAGGCAGATAGTGTTTTCATATGCAAATATCCTCATAGCCATTGCTAATGAAGATCATAGAAGCATGTTTCTCTATGTGTCTAAGGTCACCATGCTTTCTCAGACTGGCTGCTCTCCACAGGGTAGTTGATACATATAGGTGTCCATTTAACAATGATTAATAGGAATAAATGAACATAGATATGGGTCTTGTTTAAGGATGCCACCAAGAAAAATAAATAGCAATGCAAAAATTTTAAGCTAGACAAAATAACCTGTTTTATTCAATGCAAAGTACAAAAGAAGACCTCAAAATGTGCAAGGGGTCTT